TCACGGGTTCCCTGGAGCGGATCGCCGTGTAATTGATGTGCAGTCTGCATTGCTGAATCCTGGACTGCACCATTCTGTGTTCCAGGGAAGATGTAATCTGATCCCTCTGCTGCTGAGGGAGGAATCTGCTCAGTCAAGGCTTTGACAGGGCAGAGTCTCCTCCAATAATCGGCTCGCTTCTCTCTCATTATTCCCTCGAGTTCTCCTCAGTCAAGCTGCATGTATGTATGTGTGTCCCGAGGAGCGGTTTGGATACTGAGCTGCATTTGCCTTTACTGTGGAGTTTTGTTGCCGGTTCTGCTCCCTAATCTTCCTTTTCTGACGTGCCTGAGCATGTCCACATTAGAATCTGTGACATACCTACCTGAAAAAGGTCTATATTGTCAGAGGCTGCCAAGCGGCCGGACACACGGGGGCACAGAATCACTGAAGGGGAAAAATACAGAAAATATGGGTTTCTACGGCACACTAAAAATGATTTTTTACAAAGTAAGTAATCTGTTTTCTTCCTGTGTTGTATGATTGTGTGTGTGTCTGTGTGTGTGTGTGTCTGCCTGAGAAGGAAAATCTGTATCATCAGAGATGGCTGCAGTATCCTCTAATTTTGGTGGGTGGCTGGATGTCTGGTATTCTGTTTTATATTGTGAATGTAAGCAAATAAGGCAAAGACGTGAGCTGTAAAAAAGCTTTAAATTGAAAAGAAAATGGATATTGGAATCGGAGAATTTTTCACTAAAAATATATTCAGACTTTGGAAATGTGGCTCCGTTAAATGCTGACCTGGAAATACTCTACCCTTAGTTGGCTTTTAGTGAACCTTTTGCCTTTAATTTTTCTATACCTTATATCTATATATTTTTCTATTTTTTTCTTTAGCTGACTCTTTTAAACTGTAAAATTGCTAGGATATTGGGATTTATATTTAAAGGGATCATATTTACTTTCTGCACCCCTTAAAAATTGCAGAATTAATTTTTGGTTCTAAACTCAGTATTTTCAGTAAACAGTATAATATTTAAAAGACTTCTAGAGTGCTACAGAAAATGCTTTATTTTATAAAATATTTTAAAGGTAAAAATCCTCTCTCAGGGGTTCCCTTGATACGTGTATAGAGCATTTTTATTCATTGAAGGTTTTCTAAGATGGAAATAAAGTTTGCTTTTAGTGGCAGATGGCATTTGCACCGAGGTATTTACAAGATACCCAGGGAAGTTTCTGAAAGCCAGCATTCCAGACTTAATTAGGATGAATATCAAAGTTTTTCATCATGATTTTGAAAATAAGAATCTGTGGAAATTATTTAAAAAGCTAGAATTTTAAGGTAGTCTGTACTTACTGACCTTCCTGGTGGGTACATTTGTGTGTATATGTACGTGTCTATAATTTATATACATGCAAGCACGTGGCTACCTATGTATTAAAATCTTTTATTTTTTATTAAAATTATTTGGAGAAAGAAAATAATGGTTTTTGAGAGGAATCACATTAAAACAATGTAATGAGTACAGAAAGTTCTAAAGGGGTGAAATAAGACCACCTCCATTTATTTCCAGTAGGTATTTCATGAACTAAGATATACATTGTAGGTGAGCATATATCCTCATCTCTAGCCCTTAATATTGTAAGATTGTCCCTGTATTTTGGAAGACTTCCTTCATGATGATAAAAACGTAGTCTTTATTATTCAGAGTGTGGTTCAAAAACATTTTTAGAATCTTGTTGGCCCTCTTTAGTATTTATAGTATAGCATAATATGTTATGATGTCCCCACGTGAGGCAATAGGTAAGAAAATAAGGCTGCTGCAAAGCAAGTGTTTTCAGCTTGTTATAAAAATGAAGATAGCTATCTATCACTCTGGGGTTTTTTCCCCCCTCTGATTTTCAGTAATATAGTAATTAATTAGCAGACACACATCTGAGAGGGGTTGTTGAAATAGAAAAAGTTGAATCCTATCATATCTTATTTTCCGGTTTTATGATATATGTATAATTTGATGACCCAAGTTAATCGATAGTGAAATATAAAAAATAAATATTTCAGTATTGATGTTGACAAAATGCAATTCTGAATATGTTTACAGTACTACATAAATATTGCATAATGAAATACTTTAAAGCTGTGAATGTTGGATATAGCTTACAAGGATGGATAACTCACTCTTTCGTAGTCTTTTTGTTGTTGCTTTTCAAGTTAGAATGTACATCCTAAGTATCTGTCAGTAGAACTATATTCTATGTGAATATCAGTTGATGGTTTTTCCTACCTTCTAACATCTCCAGATTTCTCTCTTACTATGGACTTTTTTGCTGTCGTCATTGCCCATATTCATTGCTTTATGTCTTATTAGAATTACTTTTCAAGATCATTTTATTTGCATTGCTCTCTTTACCTTTTATAATAATATGTGTTTTAAATTCAGGTACTGTTACTTTCATTCTAAAATTTTGAATTTTATTTATTTTATCTTATATCAGTAAGAGGGGCATGTTAAATATGGTTCTTTTCTGTGTGGCTTAACATGACATTTTCCCCTATGTTGGTTCTTAAGCTGGAAAACGTGAAAGGTATATTACTCTCAAGGAATATGTGTGATGGATATCAATTTTTAAATGCCCATACACTGTTCTCTGGACAAAATATTAGGGGGGAAATTCACTTTTCTAGTCTTGTAAAGAGTAGAACCATATAATGAAACATGTATTTTCTATATTATTTAACTATTCCTAATTACCATTGTAGACATATGAACATTTAAGATTTTTTTCAATATTACCAATGATAATGTTAAAATTTGATAGTTGGACAGGTGATTTAAAAAAACAACCATATCTTATTTGTTTTACCTTATAGATGAAAAGAAAGTTGGACCATGGTTCTGAGGTCCGCTCTTTTTCTTTGGGAAAGAAACCATGCAAAGTCTCAGAATATACAAGGTAATATTAAGTATAATAATTGATTCTCTCATGATTCTTATGTTTCTTTAAAGAGTTGATTGTAAAAGCATTTCTTTTTATTCACATAGAATTATAATGTCACTAGTACTGTTGACTGTTTAACACATTTTGAGATGACTGAAAATTGGGAAATAACCTCATTTTAAATGAGAAGAATGTTTACCACTATAGCTTTATATTTTTTTACAGATACATTGAAGTAAGACACAAGCAGAAGTTTCATGTCAACCAAATTTTTAAATTACAATTTTNTGTTTACCACTATAGCTTTATATTTTTTTACAGATACATTGAAGCAAGACACAAGCAGAAGTTTCATGTCAACCAAATTTTTAAATTACAATTTTTCAGGAATTCTAAAAAGTAAATCCAAAAATAAAATATGAGCAAATGTATCTTGTTACTATAGCAACAGCTGTTCTAAGGAGTATATTTACATATGCAAAATTAAAGATACGTTTATTAGCAGTGAAATAAGCCTCACAATTACTAACTAAATCATATTTCATGAAATTACTGTGTTAGAAATCCCCTTTTATTTGCTTGGTAGGTCTTGTGTTTTTAATACATACATTTCTACACCAGTAGAATAGTTTCCATAACAACTAAATACAATTGTAGTCTTGTTTCCTGCACTAGTCCATCATTTTTGGATTTTGCATCAGTATAAAACTTCCCACTCACGCTAATTAGGCTAAGTTAAGGACAATATCTATTACCCAGCCAATTAAAAATGCCTTTGGATGTCACTTGGAATGTGGTATTTTAAAATTTAAATGACAAAAGTAGCTTAAAAACTTTTTTTGCGTAATTGTCACTTCTTCACGTAACTGATTGAAAGTTAGCTGTAGAAACTGTAAAAACTCGTGACGGTGACATTTCTTTTTCCCAAAATATTTTGATTTACAGTTATTTTTATTCTATAAGATGCAGTAAAATTAACATTGCTCAGACATAAATTTTTGTGACTGAACATTGTACAGATTGTATCTTTTTTTTTCCCCCCCAGAGAATACAGTTTATATTTTTATTTCATTCAGTTGTGGAAAATATTTTTTAAATACTCCTTTATGAAATTTAGAAACTATAATAATTAGAATAGTTTTATGTACAAAAAATGCAGGGATGATACTGAAAAGTAAAGCTCTCTCTCAGTTATTCAGGAAATACTTTTTGTGTCATTTTCTCACATTAACTGTCCCTCTCCCTTTTACTTAACCCTTTGCCTTTTGACAGTTTCACTGTGTTTTGATAGTTCTACCAGAGGGTGCGGCGTGATGTAGAGACAAGTGAAGCTACTCACTTCATTTTTGCTTTTTCCTCCTAGTCTTGATAAAATATTTCTTGGATGAGAAAGTTGAATATAATGTTAAAAATGTGCTATTTGAAAAAAAAATTATGTAGATTCCAGTTAATTATAAAATTTTTGTTCTTTTATTAATATTGCTGATAACCATGACAAAGATATTAAGTTGTTCAGTTATTTTTAAGGCAGCTTATAAATGAATGCTGAATTTTTACTATAGAACACATTTTAGTAAAATTTGTCTTTAGTTGCTTATTTTTATATTGAGAAAGCACCTGAAAAGGTGAAAGTTTTATTTTTAGCCTTTTAACTTATAATATTATTAAAGCAAACCAAACAGCATACTCTGTCTTTTTGGAGATGTCAGTATATATTTGATGTTTTTAAATTTTTTGACAGATTTTCTAGTAATAAGATGGAATTATAACTTCCATCGTTTTTATTAGAAAATTTAAGTTATAATCACTGTTTAAAAATTGTTCTATTTCAGAGAAAAAAATAGAGCATACCTTTGAAATTTGATAGAAGGAAAAATAGATTTAATTGTTAAATGTTAGAAATTGTCATAGATGTATAATGTTAAAAGATTTAAAGGTGGTAGATATGAAGATTTTTCTGTAAAAAAAATGAAATACATATTTTAACAAAATAATGACATACACTGCTAGAAAAGAATTGGAAGTTGTTTCAGTAGTAATTTATCAGAGCTTGATATTCAACTAATAGGGTACAATTTGTATGTTCTTTGGATTTAAAATACTTTATTATCATGACTCAATAAATTGAAGATTATTGTACAAATGTAAATAGTTAACTAAATCTTTCTGATCCTTTTTTTAACTGTCTCTGAAATAAGTGATGTTTAGTGTTTAACTTGAGTTTAAATAATTTAGTTATTCAAGTTAGAAAGTAACATTTAATATATTATAACTATACTTTTTCTGATTAGTCATTTTTAGGAGAGTTGGACAATTTTGGAGATAATCTAGTTTTAATCCTCTTATTATACTAGTGGCAGAATTGAATTTCAGGTTTTTGAAAAACTGTCTCAGAGTTTAAATTATTGCACAAAACTGTTTGGATGATCTCGTTTAATTTTGCACATAGTATATTTTCAATGCTTATCTGTTTCACGTAAATACATTTTTAATCAGGGTTTGCTCCTGTCAAATATCTAGACTAAGCTTTATCGATAACAAAAATTGAGCGAAATATTATAAACAATTTAGAAGGCATCTGGGGCACACTCAAGGAACAGTGTGACTAGTGAAATGTCCAAAACATTTGAACATACTATTTCTACATTTGAATTTTTTAAAGCATTTATAAGTCTCACATCTCTTTTTATAAAGAAAAATTTAACTTTTATTGAATTATGCCACTGAAGACCAGTCAAAAGAGAAGTGAAACTTACATCTTATAAGGAAATATTTTAACATTATTTGTGTGTATCAACAACTTGTAGTTTTATCATAGAGATTCTGTCATTTGGTTGCAATTAGCATTGCTGGGGTAATAACAGGTGGTTATGTAGGAGGGAGGAAACTTGCTCTAAGAATAGCTGAATAGGTTTTTATGCATCCTTGTTCTCTGGGAATAAGCAAATAAAAATAATTTGATTGATGTTTGAAATATACATTCTTATTAAATTTGAGCCTGTTATTCTTAATAAATATCTTTGCTTTCGTTTGTATTTTTTGTAGTACCACTGGGCTTGTACCATGTTCAGCAACACCAACAACTTTTGGAGATCTGAGAGCAGCCAATGGCCAAGGGCAACAACGTCGCCGAATTACATCTGTCCAACCACCTACAGGCCTCCAGGAATGGCTGAAAATGTTTCAGGTGACATGTCTAAACACAGTACTTGAAATGCTTCACTTAATTGCTGCAAAAAAATAAGAGATTATTCAGCCATGAAAAGGAATTGTTACAGGCTACACCCTAGAGGAACCTTGAAAACATTATGCTTAGTAAAAGAAGTCAGACACAGAAGGCCACATTTTGTACGATTATACCCCAGAACAGGCAAATTCATAGAGACAGGAAGTAGATTAAGTGATTGCTAGGCTATGGTGGTAGGGGAGGTTGAGACTGACTGCTAATTGGTACGGGATTTCTTTTGCGGGGATGGAAGTGTTCTGGAATTGAATAGTAGTGATGGTTGAACAGCAAGATGGCTGTGCTGGGAACCACCAAAGTGTGCATTTAAAATAGTGGATTTTATGTTATGTGAAGTGTATCTCAATTTGAAAATGCTATTAAAATAGGGGAGCTCATTTTAATTTTTAAGTGAATTAATCAGGAGAGTCCAATGCTTATTTTATCAAAGTGTGCGTTTGCATTTCTTTGATTGCTTTTTAGATAATAAGACCTTTCTTCCTTCTCCCTTTATGTTTGAGTTTCTGGGGTCGCTAAATGTATTTGTGTTCTAAACTGCATTGCTTGGAAGTAAAGCATTTATGAGTAATGTTAAGAACTTCTTTAAATTAGTCACTGGTGGTAACTTACCCACCACTATTACTCCTCCTAGTAGCCTCCTAGAGTTGATGCAGCTTCTTTTCATTACACCATGCTTGTGTATGGCTTATTGTGCTCACATTCTGATTACTCTATTTTAGTGGCGTTTAAATTCTTCAAAAGTTGACTGGGATGATTAGCTACCACCAACCCTTGAAAATTATGAATTTTATAACTCACAACAGTGGTATTAAATTGATTTCTCTCTTCTTCCAGTGAGACTATGCATATAAACCATGTATTTAGCAAAATAGTTGGCATGGATTAAACACTTGCTTAATTATTCTTTGTAGATAGTAATATAAATTATGTAAAGTGAAGCTATCTGTGATATTAGCCACCATTCTAATGTAAAATGAATATATTTCTTACCTCCCAATGCTTGATTGGTGATATTTTATGAATGCATAAGGGAATAATGGTTGAAAAGAGGATATTTAATTTGACATTTTAGATTTTTAAGTTGTCCATTTATGTAAATCCTAATATTTTAAATACGTGGGAAAAAACTAAATAAATGTCCCAGTTTTTTCCTTCAATAACTAGAAAACTCACTTGAATCAATATTGCTTTTAAATGGATTTTAAAAATTGTTTCTACCCTTCAGGTTATTTCAGAAAAACTAGGATATCCTTTTTTTCCTCTTTTTTCTTTCCAGTTGGTAACTGAAAGTTTAGAGCAGTGATTCTTGACAGGGGGCAGGTTTTCCTTGGTTGAAACATTTTCAGTTGTTACAGCTTTAGGCATGGGGGAGGGTGGGCACGACATTGCTGGCATCTAGTGGGTAGAGGCAATGTAAGGGACAGCCTCCCACAACAGTTATCCAGCCCAAAATGTCTGTGGTGCTGAGGTTGAGAATCTGTGGTTAGAGGAGTGAAAAATGTATTTTACTGTTTTTTACAATGCTGTGAATCACTATAGTTACAAAGAATTGTGGGTGATTTTTTTTCATAGTCATTAATTAAATTTGTCCTCTCCCCTCCTCCCAGGTTCATGATTTAAAAATATATTTTTAATTAAATTTTTTCATATCCATGCCCTCAGTGTCTAATTTTTTGTTGCATCCTTTTCGAAAGAAGGTTATCCATCAATAAGAGGTGAAAATAGAACTCAAACATTAATACAATATTAAAGAAATACTGTAAAGATTTTTACCATCTCTGATTAAACCAAGGAAATGGGAATATGGTGTGTGTTGTTATACCTGCACACGCATCCAGTGTGAGCAACACAGCACGTGAGGGTAGTGCAGAAACTGATTTTACCTCATTTCTATAGGAAAGTACCACCATGATTGAAAATCACACTATTAGTAATAGTTTTATCATCATTGCATCAGCCTCTAAAATACTTATTTTATACGAAAAGCTTTATTTTTTACCAGAAGGTAGTCCAGAATGAGATTTAAAATGAGTATGGGACCATTTTTTCCAATATCCCAAAATAGTCCTTGTTAGCCATTTAGGTTTCTCCCCCAATTTTTAGTGGAAATTTCTCAAATACTGATCTATATACTAGGGAACATTTGTGCATTATTTTGCACTGAGGGTGTTTTAGGGAGTCCTTTGTACAATGTTGGCTTGTTTAGGTAGCTCAGGCTTTTCTTAATGAAATGTCCATGTTAGCACATACTGTGTGATCAAATCTGAGATACAATAGACTGTTAGATGCATCGCAACTTCAAAAATGTTAACGTATTTTTTAAAAAGCTTGTTTCTTAGGCTTAATGAGATTCAGTAAACTAAAGAATATTAGGCTTTTAAAGGCCCATTTGATCGCTTTCCACATGAGAAGTAGATGCAGTGAAGAAAACTTGTTTTTAGTTAATAGGAATAACATGTAGAATTGTCCCTGGAAGTATAGTACTATTTTTTCTTTCTTTCAGGTAAATATTCTGTAGCAAAGAAATCGACTAGCAACAAAAGGTCAACTAGACAGATAGATCAGTACCTTAATCCTTTGAGTACCCTGTCTGTCTCTGACACACCCAGGGCCTTGTTGTTCACTGCCCTTTATTTTCAAGGCTGATGCCAAAGTAACTAGAACTGAATCACTTGCCTAAGGGCTTACAATGCTTTAATGCCTAACTTGCAGAGAGATACAATTTCATAGTAAGGTGGGGAGTCATGGGTTGACCTATGTTGGATAGTTGAGGGATAATTAAACTGGCATGATTTCTACAGATATGCTGTAGGGGCATTTAATGATGTCTTTTCTGTTGCGTAACAAGCAAAGTGGGAGAGTTTGTCCCCTTACTGTTCTGCTATTGCTCCTACGGCAGTGATACAGCATTGTTTTGGTCCAGTTCCATCTATTCTGACAAAGTGCCCTGCTCTCAATTTATAAATTGAATGAGAACAAATGACACACCATTTTGGATAAAGGGAAATTGAAACAGAAATGCCACTGCAAAATGGAAGTACAAATTAAAAACAAAACAAAACCCCCCAGAAATTTTGTACTGTTTGAATTTTCAGTAGCCATTGATTCTGCTTGTTTTGGCAGCCAGATTGATGCTTTAGAATGTTAATTTTGGGGAAGAGAGAAAAATTTTTGTTGTTGTTTATGTCATTTGGGTTTTAGTAAATGATTTTTCACTTTAAAATTTTAGACTAGGTAAAGACACCAATAACATTAACATTTTCTTATGTTCAAATTTATATTCAGAGGCATCGTGATATAATGAGAAACCCATATGATTTAGAAGAAAAGCTCTTAGTACAAATTTTTGCTTTGCCTCTTAATAACTGAGTCACTTTGTTGATATTATATAACCACTCTTGCCTTTATTTTCATCTTCTGTAAAATAGATACAACACTAAAAAGTTGTTGAAAGGGAGAAAACACATAAATGTGCTTAAGCTATACTTGGAAATGCAGTGGAGACTCAGTAAAAATACTAGTTTTCTCTCTTTGTGAGCCTCAGTTTTCTCAGGTCTAAAAAAGGGCTATTAATACTAGCTTAACGTTACTAGCATTATTTTAATCAAAGCATATTTGCATTGCATTAAAACTGCGAATGTACTTTGAAAATACCTGTTATACTCAAAATGCTGTTTAAAATGATAAAGTAGAAAACACTTCTGTGTTTTGAAATTAAAAGTGGAGTAAAAACTACTTTTTTGAAGGGTTTAATCAAGTTTCATGGAAACACTTAAAACTTGTACATAAGTTTTCTAACTTCTTTGTTTAGATCTTTTTTGACAGTCAACAAAATCTTAAATAGGAAATGAATTCAGTACTACTTTGCAATTGTATTTGAAATAGTTTGGTCAAGAAACCTTATTGTGTGAAGAGGAGCTGAAGAAAGCCAGAGGAGACTAAGGAAAAACACTGTGTCTAACATTTTGAAGAATTTACTATAAAAATATGATCAGGCCGATTCTCGTTTTTTGTTTTTTTGTTTTTTTTTTTTCAGAAAACAAAACCAGGATCATATTCTTTGAGTCAGACTTTGATGTAATGTAGATTGGAGTTAACAATTAGAACTGACCCACAGTAGAATGGGTGATAGTAAGTACTCCACCCCTGGAACTGTTAGACTGGGTACCATTTGCTGGAGGTACTAGAGAAGTGAGTTCCCTAGGACTGTCCAAAGTCATAAAATACATATCTGACTGGGATACTAAGGATCACCCAGGTGTTATTAGTCCGTTTCACTGCTGGTGTGTGAATCATCTGTATCAATCCTGGATGAGTTGTTTATTTAAAACAAAATGTCCTCAGCCTCACCTTGACCACTGAATCAGACTCTTTGATGGTGGGTTGTAGGACTCTATGATTCTTGCATTTTTCAACCAGCATTTGGGAACCACTGGTCTGGACCAAGCCCCTCATTATATAGGCGGGGTCTCTGCTACTCAGACTAATTATGGGACTTACAAGTAGTTCCACGGTGAGTTTACTGGTGAAACCCAGGCCCCTGATTACAGTTCAGTGCTGCTTCTGCACTACCTGGATTCTCTAGTACCTGTATTCTCTAATTCCCTGCAATAAAATATCACTTTCATGGGGAATTTTCAAGTTGGCATTTGCAGTTTAGTTCATAAATTAAATTTTGTTTCTCATGATTCTTTCTCAATTTGGGAATGTTTTTCCTGTCCCCTCTAATATGTTCCCATATGACTTTATCATGAAAGACCAAAGGAAGATATTTTTTTCTTTTTCAGGATAACTACTTTTCAGAACAAAAATAAAATAATTATTATCAGACTTATCCAACACTTTTGCAGATAAAGAAACTAAGGCTGCAGAGGTTAAATTGTAACCTAATTAGGGGCAGTATCTCCTCCAAAAGTTGGGTTTCCTGATGCCCAGTTCATTGCTCTTTCCACTATTCCTCATTAAAGGTTGGTGTGGGTTGTTATTTTGTTTTAGTATAGTTATTAACTGGAAAGTTTTTAAGTTAATACATACTCCCTTGCCTTAACCATGTATATGTACAAGATTTGCATCCAGTCTTGGAACTAGAGTAAGCAAGCAAGTTCTAGTGATACCATCAAATATAAAGGATAGAAATACTCCAGAGAGTGTTGAGAGAGTATTGGCACAGTATTTCCTGACTCTGGGAATTCATTCATTGATTCAACAAATACTTATTGAGCACCTGTTGGTGCTAGGCCCTACTTTGGATCTGGGCTAAAATAGTTAACGAAAAAGACCCCCTCGACTCCACCCCCCACCCAAAAAAAGAAAACACTTTTGCAGAATTTACATTCTAGTCAGGAGGGCCATGGGGTTGGAGGCTTGGAACTGGTTTGCAGTTTCAAAGAGGTTGCCCAGAGAAGAACCTATGGAAGCAAGCCATGTGGGTATCTAGGGAAATAATGTTCTAGGGAACAACATGGGGAAAAGCTCTGAAGCAGAGCACGCTTGGTACATTTGAGGCACAGAAGGAGTGTCTGTGACTAAAGGTAATGAGTGAATGAGGCAGAGGAATAGGAAATTGCAACCTGGTAGGATAACCTAAAGACTCCGGTTTTTACTTCGAGTGAAGTGGGTCTGGAGGGTTTTAAGCAGAAGAGTGAGTTTTAGCAGTATTGCTCTGTCTGCTTTGTAGACAATAGAACAAGGAGGGCAAAGGTGGAGGTGGGAAGCTGGGAGGCGGGTAAGAGGTTGTAGGAATAATCCAGATGACAAGTAATAGCTTAGACCAGTGCAGTAATAGTCAGATTGTGGTATAATTGGAAATTCAAGCCATAGATTTCATTGATGGATCAGAAACATGCGCCAGTGAGAGTGAGGGAGCAAGGGAAGAGATGGCACCAGAGCAACTAACAGAGTTCTGAAATAGGGAAGATTGTGGATGTGCACATTTAAGAGAAAGACCATGGACATGTTAGGTTTCTATTACATATCCGAGAATACATGTTGAGTAAACAATTTTATGTACAGGTCTGGAGTTCAGGGAAGAAAATCTAGGCTGGATAGAGGAGATCTGCCTCTGTGATCCAGACCTTTACTGGAACCATCTAAGATATGTGAATTTAAGCAATTAGACTGTTGAATATGTATGGTCCGTGGAAACAGTCTCTTTACTATGTAGTTTATAGCTTATATTACTAATCCTTATCTGGTATATTTTTCAGTAAAATGTCACAAAGTAACACCTGATAAATGTATGTATAATTTTTAAATGAGATATAATTTAGATTTTATTTGACTTGTTAAATATTATTTAACACAAAATAAAAACATCATTTAAAGTCTTAGAAACATTTTGCTATACACGCCTAATTTTTGTCATGGACTCTGCCTTAAATACATAGAAATTTCTGACACAGTTCCTAACATTTACCTGAGATATGAATTATTTATGCTCTATTTTGGCTTTTTTCATTCTATACTCCATCTCCTAAAATCCTTGATAAAATGTATTTTTCTGTCTTTTAGCAGTTGTGTACTGTGGTTGATAGTGCTTTTCTATTCCTTTCTTTTTAAAAATGAGTAGTAATACATTAACTGAAAAAAGAAAACATTAAGCATATATAGTATACTACTTTAAATTAGAAATATTCATATAGCTATAAATGTAGTTAAATAGTATATAAAGCAGTAATACAGTGAAATAATATCACTGTCTCTTTACTGTAGAGGATTACATAGGATATCTTTATTTTTATATCAAAAATTAACCATAAACACTACCAAACATATTTTTAAAGCAGGTGTTAATATATGTAAAGATTAAGAATTTTATATTAAAATTATTCTATTTTCAAGTGACTTAATTAAAGCTGCATTTTAATGAAGTCAACATAGTTATCCTTTACCCAAAATGGGTATTTCCTTATACTAGTGTCCATGAATCTTTATAATGTAGACAGAGAGGAGCAATATATTATAAAAAGCCACCTCAAATCTAGTGAGGAATGTAAACCAATAAATCAGAGTTTATAGTATTAATACCAGTTGATCAAAGATGAGTGGAGATTGGTCAGTGTAAGTTTGATCAAAGGAGTTAGTTTTGAATCAGGATTTGAATCTGTGTGAGGGAAACTGAACAAAATAATCAAACTTCAAATTAACTACTTTTAATTGGTCATGTGTGTGCACGTATATGCATGTGAGTATTTTTAATTTTATGTATGAATTCTTACCTTAACCAAAAATGCTACAAGGTGAGTGCTCTAGGATAGTGGTTTGGGGGTATGTGTATAGAATTAAAAGGAAAGGACACACCTTATTCGATAGAGCCTGTGTTTTCTCATATTCCGTGATAAAATGGGGGCAGTTCCCAGGTTTTTATAATGGTTAAATGAGATGTTTGTAACAGGTACTCTGGAAGCACTGCTGAAATGTTTGATAGTATTACCATAATCTGCACCTTATGATGGGAAAAAGAGATGAAGTTTATTGTAGTTTATTGAAGTTTTAAATACTTTTAAAAATAAAATGTGTTCTAAATAAGACTTCCTGTGTCTTCAGTACATCTCAGTTTTCAATTATTTTCTATTTCACATATTACAAAATGCAGATTCCTATTTTAAGCAAGAAATGGAGTCAAAGTCCAGATATTTCTGGCTCCAAACCTTATCTCATTCCCCTTCACCCATTCCCAAATGGATGTAATAACTCATGAAAGCACTTAGAGCCTCCCCATCAAGGGTGTTCTTCACTTAAGAATTCCAGGGTTGTTCAGGCGTTTTACATGATTGTTGTGAGGGGAAATTCTTAACATTTTAAATTATTCACATGCTTTTTAGTTTTTCCTTTTATGAATCATGGCTTTTCTGTGCAAGTTCCTTACTAGAAAAAAAAATTTTTTTTAAAGAATTCCCTAGTATAGCTTAAAGGAGTTCATATTTTTGAAGTATAATTATGTGTTTTTGTTTTTCCAGAATGCAGTACTTTTACTTCTTACCCTCCTTTAGTCTTTGTTCATATTCTGATTTTACTACTAAGTTAGCTACTATTTTCTACTGTTTGCTGTTTTTTATCTGAAATTATTCTCACTCAACAATGTCCTTTTGTTTGTGGAAGGCGCTTGTCAGATGTGCAGTATTTGCAGTTATTAATTTTTCTCTATATGATGCTGCCAGTGTCCTCAGATGAGTGCTTCATTCAAACCATCAAGTTTTATGGCACCCACTTGAAAGATGCAGAGAAAGAAAAATCATCTATCAAAACTCCCTGTTTACTCAGTAACCCAAATTGATGTTTCTGAACAAAATTTTGGTTTCTAAACCAGTATCTTTGTGGTAGATGAATATATAACAATTATAATAATGTAATGCAAAAATATTTTCCCATCAAAACCATGATATTTTTTTAAAGCTTTTTATAAAATTAAGGTGTCTAGTAAATTTGATGAGACTAAATGATTATTACTTCTTTGCCTTCTGGAGAAAATGTCACTATAAGCAGTTCCTTTTGATGTTGTATGTAGATAAGGATTTTTCTTTAATTTGAGACATCTATGAAAATAATAAAATTTTTGAATTCCTGTTTAATAGAGCTGGAGTGGACCAGAGAAATTGCTTGCTTTAGATGAACTTATTGATAGTTGTGAACCAACCCAAGTAAAACATATGATGCAAGTGATAGAACCCCAGTTTCAACGAGACTTCATTTCGTTGCTCCCTAAAGAGGTAAGGATGATCAATTATATTCTTCATTTTGTGCTATTTGAGAACACAACTCAACAGCTACCACTTCTAAACATTGTCATCCTGTGGTATTCAGTATTGCCAGTTTAACACTTTTAATTAGTGCTAAAGAGGGCTATAAATGATAACCTGCCATGAATTAATAATGTAATTTTCATATTAAAGTGTGCTTATGGACTGAGTGACTTCTTTCTACCACTGGAATAAGTCGTATATGGGAGTAAGCTGTTGAGTTTTGTTAGATTGTTTCTTTACTAAGATTTCTTTCCCCAGGTTATTTGAAACCTAATCTTTAGTTGCACTGATATGTTCATTATAGTAGCAGATTTTAAAAAATATCTTGATTTTATTAAAACAACAGTTTTTTTCTTTTGTTGTTTGTTAATCCTAAATTCCTTTGAAAGTGATAATTTTATGATTCTATTGAATTATAGTTCTCTGTTACTTACATTGTGTAATTTTGAAATATATGGAATTTCACGTGTCTTTTTCTACTAATCATCCTACTTTTCACCCCCATCACTCTCTCACACACACACACACACACACACACACACAATTACAGATTTCCTATACCAGTTGCATTCTTACAGCATTTCTTTTGGAAGTTTTTGTGCCCATTTGTTTTTGTATCTTTACGTCAGCTGACACTATTTTTTAATCGTAGATTGATTATGATCATATGGGCATTCTTGACTGTATAAATGAGGCATAATTTAGTTACAGTTTTTTATTGTTATAGGCTACATAGTTTCATTTTTGTCAGCAAACAGAAATAGTATAACATTAAATAATCAATGTCACCATATTTTCAAAAAGTATGTATGTGTCAGCTAAGAAGACCAATATACCTTTGCAAATGATCCTGAAACTTCAAATTTGAAGAGAAAAGGAATCAGTTTTTTTCAGATAACCAGTCTAAATATCCTCAAGGCATTTAAGATAGTCCCAATAATAATTTCACATTAGATATGAACAAGATAATTTCATTGTATTTAGTGTATGAAACTAATCATAATTTAAGGAAAAAGCAAAGTAGAAAAACTACCTCATTCCTGAAATGTTTCTTCTTTGGAGTGATTTTTTTAAAAATGATACTGTCCCAGAAAAAAACTTCTATTCTTGCTGGCTCATTCTAAAACTGAATCCTTTGAATAGATTTGGCTTATGAAAGTGATATAAGCTCTTTTTGCCTCTAGAAGGATATTAATAATAGGAAATACTTTTTTTTAAAGTATTTGACTGAAAGTAAATTTATTCACCTCTGATATGTGTCATAGTTTTCCTTGATAGCCTTCTTATTTTAGAAGGTAGTATTTTTGTTAAAAGAGACTTTCTCTTAGTCCTGTTTGCCCCTTATCTCTGAGAATGGTGAGTTTTTTGTTTTGTTTTACCTTTTTTTGTATTTTACTTTTTAACACACAAAAATGTGATTTTAAGTAAGAAGAATATAGAAGTATTTTTAAGAGACTGAGAATTAAGCCCAAATGAAAAATTTTTTGGATTAAGTGTTCTTTTCAAGATTGCCTGAGGAAAAAGAAGTGAGGCTAGGTTGGAGAATGAGTGAGCCCTGGCTTAGAATATCATCTCTGTTCCCCCCCCCCCACCTCCTTTTTTTCCAACTACTAGAAAAAAATTTTCCTGTTTTGAAAAATGCTTTATTTTATACATGGAGAAACAATGGCACAGATCTTAGTCCTTAAGGAAATGAATATTATTTTATCAGAGACTAAGTACTATAATTATTTAAAATATTTTCTTCATGTCAGGAAATGGACATATAATAATTTTCTTATAATTCCTTTCAATAGATCTCAAAGCTCTTTACCAACATTTATTTATTAATCTCAAAAACCTTGCCTAAAATCTCACTAGTCTCGCTTGGGAGGCTTGTGATGAACAGCATTGCCCTTATTGTGTAAGTAAATACCAAGAAAAGCATAGTGTAGAGCAGATGATTTAGAACAAAACCTATATTCTTAACATAGGATCTTATATTCTTTATTCTTTCAGTAATTGAACCCACTGAAGTATAGCAATTCTGGAAAAATATTAGCTACTTTTAAGTATAATATGGTGATCTTTTATATAGGTTATAGAGAAAAACAAAAAAATAGCAACTCACTGAAATTAAAAGTTGGGGCAAAAAGGTAATTATCTGAAATAGATTTTCAATTTAAGAACATCTGTCTGGTGGAAGTGTTCCTTAGGAAGAATTACTAATCTAGATTTTACTTTTAAGACATGAAGAGAAAACTGTATTAGTTAGACCATTTGACTTGGCTACAATAACCGTGTAACTCCCTACTGTGGTGTTACAGGGGTATAGTTTGGTACAGTGCCCTTTCTCTGTCCCCTGTAAGGAACCCCACATAACAAGCCCTTGCTTACTTTGAGGAACTGGTTCACTTCCCCATAATACCTAAGAATTGTGTAAGGAATTGCTGTTCTCTTTTTGCTTGGCAATTTAACTTAAAAACCATGTAAAATATTGTTGCCAGCATATTTGTGTTCTACTCTTTCCCTGATTTAAACCTTCTTTTCTGATTTATATTTTCCTGGTTCTGATTTTTTAATGTGTATTTTCCCATTTTGCTGTGAGCATTTTCTATAATGCCTAGATGTTTTCATGGAACTGGCTAGGTATAAATAGGCAAACGTTTAATACATTGAAGTTCATGGTTAAGTTCTTTGCTATTTTCAAGGAAAGTGTGCCCATTATCTACGGAGTTAGCACTGCAACTTTCCTTAGTATCTGAGTGTTTCTTTATATTTCTCTGTACTATATTCAGACATGGGACTAGATGATCTCTTAATCTCACTAGTAACAAATGAACTTCTACCTGTTGACTTTGGGATATACCAGCGATTTTCAACCTTTTTCATGTCATGGCACACATAAACTAATTACTAAAATTCTGCAGCACATCAAAAAAATATGTTTTTTGCTGATCTGACAAAAAAAAAGGTCATAATTTTGATTCATTCACACTGGAAGGCTGTTATTGTGTTAGGTGTTGTCATTTTTTTAAATTTGACAGTCTAAGGGAAAAGAAGTCAGTGCCTCTGACTAAATAGTCAGGTATTGCATGATTTAAAAATTTTTGCAGCACACCAGGTGCCTGCCATGGCACATCCATTGAAAATCGCTGGACTATACCTTTGAAATCTGAGCTGCTCTGGATTTGTTTCCTAGCCTTTAAAATTGAATATTTCTATAAATTACCTGATTTCTACTTCAGCTAGATAACTAAAGCAAAGACTAGACTTTTTCATATGGCCATTCTAAAAATCTTGGGCATAAAATAGCATCTCTTACACAAATACAATTTTGTTCCTAATAATTCTGTGTTAAATATCAATTTCACATGGAAGATTAATAATATAGTGGTATCATATTACTGTTATATTGACTCTAAGCAAGGTTGCCTAGGCTTTGATTGATTGATAATTTCAAAATTAAGTGGCTTATGAAATATCTGTTTAAAAACTACAAATACATACATTGTTGTATATAGTTATGCCTTATTATTTTAGATGAGTCAGTTTCTATATATGGTACTGAAAATCTTTCCCGACAGACCAAAAGTAATTATTCCACAGAGTTTTCTACTGCCATTTGTCAACAGTAGTATTAAAGTGAGTACTGACTAGTTAAAGTACTCTCTATATAGAATGTACTCAATAAATTTGTGATTAATGATGAACTCCATATATACAAAGTCATTGGGAAAGTTTAACTTATATCATGTAATTTTTATCTTAGCATTAAAAATTAATTCAAATTGTACTTTTACTCCCTTATATGGCCCTTGGCCTTTTAAATGATAGTTTGTTTTAATCTTTGTAATTTAATTTATATGAAAACTAAATTTTCTTGCTCTGTTTATTTTTTTTATTTGATCTGTTTAGATAATTTTTGTCCTATCATAATTTAAATTATTTTGAATTGCCTTTACATAATGGAAAAGAAATTGATGGTTTGCAAGTATTGGAAACAAAATTTTTAAATCAATGCTATACCAAAGAGCTGGCTCCAATATATAACTACCTGGCCCATCAAGAAAATCCCCTTAAGCAATGTAATTAGCATCCAATTACTCTTATATGTCTGTGGAGAGGTTTAGTAATTGTCCCCTTTTGTCATTTACTGTAAAGGGTATAAATGTTTGAAAAGTTCATCATTGTGGTAATAAACACTTTGATTTGGTAAAGAACTATTAACCATATCTATCAGAATTTATCTCAAACCATACTACACAGAATATAAATAAGTCTTATTTACCTTAAGTCCTGTCTTGGATAAATTTACTTTGTACTAAGAAGAGAAAAAAGACAAAATTTAAACAACTGATAAAGTAAAATAGGTAGGTAGGTAGGTAGGTAAGTAGGTAGAATTCTTGAGTTGAGACTCAGCAGAGGTAGGAGCAGAGGCTGGGCGGTTTAATAAGTATTCCTTGAAGAGGTGAGGAATTAGTGGAGTGAAGTTCATAAAAGCAAACTGAGTGGGTTTTTTAAATCTGGTATATATCTTTTAAGCTTGAATATTAGAAAGTACTGCCTTTCATAATTTTAGGAATTAGAATGTAGAATTATATTACATTTATTTATAAGTGCTTTGTCCCATAGAGAATAATTAACTTATTATTTTTATATATGTTAAAATATGGGTATACTGTGCTTTTTCTTTTCATAGCTGGCACTTTATGTGCTTTCATTCCTGGAACCCAAAGACCTGCTACAAGCGGCTCAGACATGTCGCTACTGGAGAATTTTGGCTGAAGACAACCTTCTCTGGAGAGAGAAATGCAAAGAAGAAGGTAAGGCTTACGTAGAGAAAATGTTCATACTTTGAAAAAGCAAAGTGATTCTGAAAACAAATAGAAAAAAATAAAAATAAGTTTTATGTGCAAGTAGAATAAAGTGGTGGATAAAAGGAAAAGAGAACTTTAGGCAGCCTATCAGAGAATCAAGAACGAGTGTTCATTAGCATTCACCTACTTCACACAAAGTCTACAGGTTATTCCACACGTTCAAATGAGCCAAATCTTGCAGCTGATGCCTTTAATGAACACTGTAACGAATAGCAAGGATATCTGATTTTCTTCCCAGTAGAATTAGTAAACAATGAAAAAGTCAAGATGAGGATGACTTAAAGGAAATCCAAAGTTACATTAGCAATTAAATATTCAAATATTCCGTATTTTATTCATTCCTCCACAAATATTTTTTGGACATCTCTTAAGAACTGGGGATTCTTAAATGCTGGGGACATAGTAATAAACTCCCATTTTCCTCCTGTCACAGAGCTTATGTTCTTGAAACCTGTAAAAAAAAAAAGAATTCCCTTTCTTAGTAGAAGAGTAGGTATCCTCCATATTAATTAAAGAAAGAACTTTATTTTCCAGCAGTCATCTAGAAAAAGAATATTTTTGAAAAAATATGTAAAAATATTATTTGCTTCTGACAAGCAACATTTTTGAGATAGGATCTTAGAACATGAGACAGATCCTCCATAGGTTACCCTCCCCTCCGTGGAGGTTATAGTGGGGTGGGGAGCACTGAGGTTAGGAAAGCTTGGCCGTGAGACCCAGGGCTCCTGGTTTCCAGTCCTGCCTCTGCCCTGTCTGTGGCTTGGACTCAGCAGTGATACCTTCTCTTCTCAGGTGTCTATATACATAAAGTGGGGTTAACCATCCCTGCCTTACCTTCTCAGTATCATTACTTTAATGACTTTTAAAAAATAATGGTAACATTTACATAAAACTGTCACCATGTTCAGGTGCACAGTTCATGACATTAAGTACATTCACGTTATTGTGCAGCCACCCCCACCACCCGTCTCCAGTGCTTGGCCTCCCAGCTGAAACGCCATTCCCACGTAGCGCTAACTCCGTCTCCCTGCAGCCCCTGGCAGCCACCATTCTACTTTCTGTCTCTGAATCTGACCGCTCTACGTACCTTGTATAAGTGGAACCATGTGGTATTTGTCTTTTTGTGACTGGCTTCTTTCACTTAGCATAATGTCTTCAAGTCCATCCACGCGGTAGCATGTTAGGTTTTTTTAAGGCTGAATGATATTCCATCTTATGCACATACACATTTTCTTTACCATTTATCCATCAGTGGACACTAGGGTTGCTTCTCCTTTTTGCCTGTTTTGAATAATGCTGTTATGAACATGGGTGTACAAATATCTGTTCAAGGCCCTGTTTTCCCTCCTTTAGGGTCTATATCGAGAAGGGGAATTGCTGGATCATATGGTCATTCTGTGTTTAGTGTTTTTGAGGAACCACCATACTGTTTTCCATAACAGCTGCATTTTATATTCCTACAAGCATTGCATAAAGGTTCCAGTTTCTGCACATCCTCCCCAATATTTCATAGAATCATTTTGAGAAAGAAAATGAAATGGTTAATATAAAATAACTTCATATAAAATTTAAACTTTACATTATTTTGTTTTGTAGTAATTGTTAGAAATCAGTGTTCTGCATTTTGGTAGTTTTCAGCATAGGAGAAAATGAGATACATTATAAAATGTGTAATATTTATTATTGGTGAAGACAGTTATACTCTTTTAATTCTTTGAAACTAGGTATTGATGAACCATTGCACATCAAGAGAAGAAAAGTAATAAAACCAGGTTTTATACACAGTCCATGGAAAAGTGCGTACATCAGACAGCATAGAATTGATACTAACTGGAGGCGAGGAGAACTCAAGTCTCCTAAGGTAACTGAACTCGTGCAGTGTAGCAGAATCTATTAACTAGTGTTAGTATCTGGTGTGTTTTTCCACTTCCTGGCAACCAGTATAACTTGACACCTATCTCCAGTAGAAAGAAAACAATATATTTTTAAATAACTGACATTATCCTTCTATTGTGAATTTCTCTAGTCTGACAACTCATTGTCTTAAATCAAAGACAAGTTGGTTGGCATGTATCTCTATCTTACGTAAATGAAATTTTTTCTGAATATCCTGTTGAATTTTGTGTCATATATATTCTGCCTAAGAATTTGCTCCCTCTCTGACCACATAGTCCAAATATGATTTTTGAGGAGTGCCTGTGTTTTGTTTTGGTGGCCTTTGTGTGTTTTATTTTATAAATTTAACTATTGTGACTTTTTGTCTTATAACATTTCAAGTATGTAAAAAATATCAAAAATACTTGAAATTTTTAAATATATGTTTATAATTGGAAAAAGACAATTTGGGGAGACACAGTTCTATTCCTGTGTATATATTATGGCAGATTTTTTTTGTTTTAAGTTAAAAAGCTGATAATTACGTTGCTCTTGTCTTTCTAGTTAATAGGTGCTTTTGTTTTCGTGTGTCAAATTGTAAAACTTAGATGCATATTCCTTGGTTTGAACAGATAAAATAGATGACTTTAAAATGCATTTGTGCTTGAACCGTCTTTATGAGGCCTTGACTCGGTAAAATTATAACAGTTAATTTCTCAAGTATAAATAATAGAATATGGAAACAGTAAAATGTTTAATACTTGATTCATCAGCCAGGAATGATGATGCTTCATATTTCATATAAATTTTAATTCTAGAAATAGACTACAGGTTGCTGTTCCTATTTATGGTTTCATTTTTCTTTTCACCAGTATTTTAAAAAACATAATTCAGTCACATTTCTAATCCTTATATCTACCTCGTAGGTGCTGAAAGGACACGATGATCATGTGATTACATGCTTACAGTTTTGTGGTAACCGAATAGTTAGTGGTTCTGATGACAACACTTTAAAAGTCTGGTCAGCAGTCACAGGCAAAGTAAGTTTATTTCTTTGTGCACTTCATGAGGTCATCATTTTGTGTATGTCTTTGCAAGGATCGGCCAGTGAAAGGAAAACAAGGATTCATTTTTGACTCTAGCTTATTTTGATAGCAAATAGCAGAGCTTCTAATTTAGCTTCTTCCTTGGCATGAAGATGATGTTTCTCATGATAGGAATATCGGTAGTTTCTTCCTTATTTAAATAGTTTGTCTGTCTATGTGATGTACCTATTAAGATTTTACAGATGTGCTTTATCTTTTTCTTGTCTTAATTTTCCCCACTTTTTTAACCATCTAAATTATATTTTATTCCTTTTTAATCTTTTTCAAAAATATGAGTGAAGGATATTTGTTTTTCCTTGTAAAGTGCTTTGTTGATAACCTACTTACAGTTTAGAAGTTAAATAAATCATGTCAATTTAGACTTATCTCAAACTCTGTGAGGTGGAAGTTAGAGAGACTAGGTATTTAAATAGGAGTTTGAAGCAAAAAGCGGCCAAGCAATCGGTTTCACTGCATATAGTATTATACCTTAATGGTCCAATGGAGGATATTTTCATCAATTAACCACCTAAAAAAAAATGGAAGAAAGCATGAGGGCAAAAATCTGTCTTATAAAATGTTGATTCTTGGGCAAGAATCTTCTAAATATTCCAAGTTAGATGTTAGAATTTTTAAAAGCAGCTTTATCTTTCCATAGTTTAATGTTAGTTTTGGATTGACTTCAGGGCTGTAATGTCTGTCTTTACTTGTCTAGAAGTACCTTACCTGGCTCCTAACTACTGCCTTGTGGCAGATTGAGATGAAATGTGGTATGTAGCCACACCCAGCGCTGTCGGCCTTCTTTCATTGAATCCACTCCCATGGGCGAAACCAAGTTGCAATTTTAGTAGTATTTCATCAGAGAGGCCAGACTGGAGCTTTCATACTTTAATGATAAATTTTAGTTCTTCAGCTGTGTGCATGTATATAACATGTGATGCTATTGAATAAGCTAAACAATGAATAGCTATGGGGTCACATTACAGTGATGTGAGAAATTACTTTCTGATATGCCAGATAATCAAATTGAGTAACTATGACTTTACTCCAAATTTTAATGAGCTACTGAAATGTTATTTAAATCATTTTTTCTGCCCAAAAGTAATCATCTTGAGTGTTTTTCCAGTGTCTGAGGACATTAGTGGGACACACAGGTGGAGTGTGGTCATCGCAGATGAGAGACAACATCATTATCAGTGGATCTACAGATAGGACGCTCAAAGTGTGGAATGCAGAGACTGGAGAATGTATACACACCTTATATGGGCATACTTCCACGGTCCGCTGTATGCACCTCCATGAAAAAAGGTGAGGGCAGAGCCCAGCCTGGTTGGGAATTCTTGTCTGTCACTTGTGAGACAAGTTGGGGTCTTCTGTGTAGAGTTCAATTTGTGTAATACTTAAACAGTGTCTAATAAAGAGATAGCGATAATGTGCTCTTAAATTAGTCTTTAATTATTAGATTTTGGATGTTTCTGTACTGGGAAAGCAGTAGTGTATTAGCTTACAGTTGGGGGGGGTTATCTTTAAATTTTCTTTCTCGTTTATTAGTGTTGTTGGCTTTCTCCTTGAAACTCTCTACTCCCTAAATTCAAACAACATCTTACTTTATATCTCTACATCTTTGATGACTCATCATCTTCCAATAATTTTTTTTTTTGCTATTCATATTTCTGCTAGTGGACACATTCAGTTATTCAGGCTTCAAGTCTCCAACTCTTTTAAATTATGTACTCATCCTACCCCACTCTGTCATATTCCCTATATCTAGGTGAAAGCTGAGGCCTGTGTTTCTTAATTTATTCTCTCATTGCCTGTCACCTGAACTATTGACACAGCTTTCATACCTGGTCTTCTCACCTTTTACACAGCTCTCCTCTAATAATGACAGTATCACTGCCTTTGGGAGCCTTCTCTTGTCTACCAATTTAAGGACAAAATTCTCAGTCCCAGTTTTTAGAATGGTTTCAGACAAACCAGACTGCTTGGTTTTTTCCCTCAGTGCCTTTACTGTTGGTTTTATCTCATCCTACAAAGCCCTCCTATTTAAAGTCCTTTATATCTCCCATTGGCATGTCTTCATGGTACACCCATTAAACAAATGTGGTTTCTACTTCATCTTTCTGAAATGGTCTTTGTGAAGGGTCCTCATAGTGACTCCACTCCAATCTTTACCTTTAACTCTGCCCATAGCATCTTCTTTATTAAGAACCAGTACATTAAGCGGATTTCACACTAGATTGGTAATATGTCAAGAAAAAGTACCTTTTCAATTTTAATTTGAATCTCCTTTGAACAGTGTGCTCTACTATTAAAAGTTGGGGGATTGGTATCAAGAGACCTTGCATTTCAGTTTCTATTAGTTCTGACTTAAATCTCTCAGTGCTTCCATTTTCTACTCTTCCAAATGTGGAAACTATGGCTTTTCTTTATCTCTGAGGAATGACATAAAGATACCTGCATGTTCAGCTCTCCTTTGTAATCCAGAGATGAATGCAGTATTTGTATCATTCTGGTCTTCAGAAGAGTGTAACTACAATAATGTTGGGCCAGATTTTGAAGGGATTTCTCTTGCCTCAATGTATGTGTCTTCTGAAATCTGTGTATCATAATGCCCTATAGCCTGTTGAATGTTTATATTTATAAATATTTGAGACATGTCTAAAACTGGTTAATTTTACCAGAATATATGGGGTAAAGCACGTATCTCTAGCTGTTTAAATTCCAAATTCTTATTTGTTTTGTTGAGTAACCTTTATTGAATTCTTCCCTAACCACAAAGGGAATATGTATGTTTTCATCATCAGAATTTGGGGAAATGGCAGAAAGAATAAAGAAGAAAATTTTATTTTTTTCAAAATACTGCCACCCACAGATTTCCCAGTAACATTTTATATGTGCACATTAGCATTTTATTTCTAAATTTAAGATCTTACTGTATATATTTAGAATGGGCTGCTTTTGCTGCCCATTTTTAAATATAGTACAGTAGTTTTCAGACCGTTCCACACAACCCCAAGCAGCTACTCGACCTCTCACAGGTGGGGAACTAAATAGGCCAATTCTAGGCTTCTCAGCGTCCCATCCCAATGAGAGTAACTCACCTTTTGTATGATTAAATATCAGGGTTTTACATAAGCGTTCTTTAAAACAGGTGTTCCTTCCTACTTAAGAAAAAAAAAGGTTTAATTATCACTGACTTTATATATCATGCTTTCTTATGTTATTAAAAATTGTAATACTTTTTTTTTTCTGTTTTCCTCCCTACAGAGTTGTTAGCGGTTCTCGAGATGCCACTCTTAGGGTTTGGGATATTGAGACAGGCCAGTGTTTACATGTATTGATGGGTCACGTAGCAGCAGTTCGCTGTGTTCAATATGATGGCAGGAGGGTTGTTAGTGGAGCATATGATTTTATGGTGAAGGTGTGGGATCCAGAGACTGAGACCTGTCTACACACGTTGCAGGGGCATACTAATAGAGTCTATTCATTACAGGTAAGAGATCCTATCTTTCCTACCCTTTAGATGCTCTACTGGTGAATCACAAGATAGTTTTACTCAGATAACGACTGTCAAATTGTTGATCCAATGCAGTCTAAAAAAAGATGAATCAGATTACCTGTTGTTTACATATACTTTAAAATTAGCATGAAGGAAGCATAAATTTTGAAATTATTTATATGATTTGTTTTGGTTTTTCTGTGATCCATTTTCCCTCCAAAATACAAATATTTATCTTGGAACCCTAAGTTTTGCAATATTAATTAACAGGTAGATAGTCTCATAGGAGAATAACCCGGGTTTTAATAAACTCCTTAGCAGAGGATTAATTTGGCCAAAAGCTGCCCCTTTGCCTTGATAGCTGGAAGTTGATGGACCATGTAATTGTGATTCCATCCCCATTCAGCAAGAAAATGGAGCCCTTCTGCATAAAACTGCTCGACTCTCTCAGGGCTGATCCCTAATCATAAAGAAAGAAATTTGACTAACCTAATTTTTTGTTTACATTTGAATCTGATGTACTTGGGTAGAGTGCCATATTTTGAGATAAATAAATTAATAGCAAGTTTAGAAAATGGGTCTCATTTTATTTGCTGAAAGACAGCATTTCCATTCAAAAATATTTCCAATTACTTATATAGGTTCATTTACCAGTTATTGCCCATTAGTGATCAGCAAATTAGAACATAGTCTCAGTGCTGACAGATCTGTTCTTGGGGTATTTGTTTCTTAATTGATGGAATACTAACTATGCCACAAAAATATTGACACCTAATAAAGATGTTTGTTAACTTAGAAAAGGTTATGAATTTGGAGGAGAGGGGATTGGCTGTAACTGTTTTTATGTTTTGTGATATGCTCAGAACCTTAATGAATATAATATTCTTATTTAACCATTAGATTTAGAAAAGAGATAGCAAGATCTCTTGCTATCTGGGAATTAATAGATACTGACTTTTGGTATAACTGGGAAGCAGGAACAGAGGTGCTGTATGGCTTGCTTTGTTATCAAAACACCAGCTTTTCTAATTCAGGATATAACTATCTATTGGCACATTTCCTAATTAGCATTTAGGTTATTGTAAATGCAATTTTTATTTTACATACAATTTTTAGTGGAACTAACTTTTAAACATCATGAAAGTTATCTCTAGCCCTTTCCATGCGTGAGGTGTTGACGAGCACACCCTTTATTACAACCTGTATTGGGAGTTTCAACTTCCTTTTGGGAGGTAAAACTCAAATGGCAGTCCTTATTACATTGTCCATAGAATGTAGCTACTATGTGTGGCCAGATGACCTGAAAATAATGTGTTCATTTTAATTGTTTTGTTTTCTTTTTAATTGTTTCTGCATCTTTCAGATAGAAGTTTCTGAGAACATGCACTGTAGAGTTGCTTATTACATGCAGTTTATCCTAGCACCTCATTTTGTTCCTGGAGTTCCTGTTCTCCATGCCCTACTCCCCTCCCCCATTAAGATTAAGGTCAATAAATAATATCAAGAATATCCACATGTCTAGTCTAATAAACTTTGTCTTTTGTAGTTTGATGGCATCCATGTGGTGAGTGGATCTCTTGATACATCCATCCGAGTTTGGGATGTGGAGACAGGGAATTGCATTCACACGTTAACAGGACACCAGTCGTTAACAAGTGGAATGGAACTCAAAGACAACATTCTCGTCTCTGGGAATGCAGACTCTACAGTTAAAATCTGGGATATCAAAACGGGACAGTGTTTACAAACATTGCAAGGTAAGAGTTGGTTACCCCCCCCTTTACTTGTGTTTGTTAAAAATTAGGTTGTTAGTCAAAAGAGAAATATGGAGCTTTTGTGTTATGAAAAGAATTAACATCATACAAAATGAAAATGTTTATTTTGGATAAGTTAATGAGAATTTCCACTTTGACTTAACAAAATTAGGCTGTTTTTGAGAAAGTATGCTAAATTGTGTTTTTAATATAAAATGTAAATTGTGTTTTTGATATAAAACTATTTAATCACTGTTTGCATGGACAGTCAACTCTATCTGACCTTAAAGAGCATTGTGAAGAAAGATCTTGGCTATATCACAGAAGCAACATGCTAATTTTATTAATTGAGTGATCATTTCATTTAGAATTTGTAGTCCAATTTTAAATTAAAGAGCTGTCTTGCTGGGGGGAAAAAGGTTCTCTAATCTGATAGAAAATTGCTTTGGCTCAACTTAGACCCTTGACCATCTGCTTAACCAGGATAGGAGGGAATGATAGTGCCCACTCCCACTGCAGAAAGAAAACTGTGACAGCCACCATTATTAAATGAGGCACAACAGTGTTATCTTAAGTCATGATTAACTTCTTTTTATTGGTCACAGCCCTTAGAAAGTGTTTTGTGTGTGTGTGTGTTTTGTTTTTTTTAGTGAGGCCGTCTGGTGGGCCATATTACAGCTTTTTACTCATTGATTTTGTATCTTTCTTGGAGTTTTAGAATAGTGTCCATTCAGCCTTTGCCCTTGACTGGTCAATTCAGAGCAGTAGGGCAGATCTCTTATGCCCATTTGTCCATCAGCAGAACCCCTGAAGCTGGGCCATCTACATCAGCACTGAGAAAAGCTCTCATTTCTATAGCCAGCAAACATGTGTGCTGGTAGCTAACCAAACTTCTTGGAAACGGAAAGTTAACGTTTCAGTTACAAACACCTACCAGATTTTCTTACATCCCTGCTGATCCTAAAATACTCAGAACACAGTTTCTAAATACGCAGCATTTTAAATATTTTGTGTATTGTATGTTCTAATGTAGAAGTCTACAAATTACAAGGTAACTAACTCATAGCCATGATTTCTAACCAGTAATTAAATCCCTTTGGTTTTGCCTAGGTCCCAACAAGCATCAGAGTGCTGTGACCTGTTTACAGTTCAACAAGAACTTTGTAATTACCAGCTCAGATGACGGAACTGTCAAACTATGGGACTTGAAAACGGGTGAATTTATTCGAAACCTAGTCACATTGGAGAGTGGGGGGAGTGGGGGAGTTGTGTGGCGGATCAGAGCCTCGAACACAAAGCTGGTGTGTGCGGTCGGGAGTCGGAATGGGACTGAGGAAACCAAGCTGCTGGTGCTGGACTTTGATGTGGACATGAAGTGAAGAGCAGAAAAGATGAATTTGTCCAAATGTGTAGACGATATACTCCCTGCCCTTCCCCCTGCAAAAAGAGAAAAAAAAGAAAAAAAAAGAAAAAGAAAAAAAACCCCTTGTTCTCAGTGGTGCAGGATGTTGGCTTGGGGCAACAGAATGACAAGACCTACAGACTAAGAGGGAAAGAGGAAGAGATGACAAACCGTAACTGACAAGAGGCGTCCGCGGTCTCATCACGTAAAGGCTTCACTTCTGACTGAGGGCAGCTTTGCAAAGCGAGACTTTCTAAATCAAACCAGGTGCAATTATTTACTTTATTTTCTTCTCCAGCGGTCATCGGGCAGTGTCAATGCTGAACCATCGTCTCAGATTCTGCGAGTCCGTTCTCTCAGCACTGAGACCTAGGACGGAGCTGCAGTAGCATCGGAATCAGTATGGTTGACTTTCTAATCAGAGAGCATCTGCAACAAAAGTCATTTTTCTGGAGTGGAAAAGCTAAAAAGATATATTACTGTGAATTGTTTTTGTACAGTTATCATGAAAAGCTTTTTTTTTTTCTTTTTTCTTTTTCTTTTTCTTTTTTTTTTTTTTGCCAACCGTTGCCAATGTCAATCAATCACAGTATTAGCCTCTGTTAATCTATTTACTGTCGCTTCCACATACACTCTTCAGTGCATATGTTGCTCAAAGGTGGCAAGTTGTCCTGGGTTCTGTGAGTCCCGAGAGATGGATTTAATTCTTGATGCTGGTGCTAGAAGTAGGTCTTCAAATATGGGATTGTTGTCCCACCCCTGTACTGTACTCCCAGTGGCCAAACTTATTTATGCTGCTAAATGAAAGAAAGAAAAAGCAAAATATTTTTTTTTATTTTTTTTCTGCTGTGACGTTTTAGTCCCAGACTGAATTCCAAATTTGCTCTAGTTTGGTTACAGAAAAAAAGACTTTTTGCCACTGAAACTTGAACCATCTGTGCCTCTAAGAGGCTGAGAATGGGAGAGTTTCAGATAATAAAGAGTGAAGTTTGCCTGCAAGTAAAGAATTGAGAGTGTGTGCAAAGCTTATTTTCTTTTATCTGGGCAAAAATTAAAACACATTCCTTGGAACAGAGCTGTTGCTGCCTGTTCTGTGGAGAAACTTTTCTTTTTGAGGGCTGTGGTGAATGGATGAACGTACATAGTAAAACTGACAAAATATTTTAAAAATATATAAAACACAAAAGTAAAATAAAGTTGCTGGTCAGTCTTAGTGTTTTACAGTATTTGGGAAAACAACTGTTACAGTTTTATTGCTCTGAGTAACTGACAAAGCAGAAACGATTCAGTTTTTGTAGTAAAGGCGTCACTTGCAAACAAATGAAATGAATGAAAAAGTCAGATGGTTTGCCTCATTCTCCAAGAGCCACAACTCAAGCTGAACTGTGAAAGTGGTTTAACACTGTATCCTAGGCGATCTTTTTTTTTCCTCCTGTTTATTTTTTTTTGTTTGTTTTATTTATAGTCTGATTTAAAACAATCAGATTCAAGTTGGTTAATTTTAGTTATGTAACAACCTGACATGATGGAGGAAAACAACCTTTAAAGGGATTGTGTCTATGGTTTGATTCACTTAGAAATTTTATTTTCTTATAACTTAAGTGCAATAAAATGTGTTTTTTCATGTTAGTATGCCTGTTTCTTCCACTGAGGTCATAATACTTCCTTATAAATATTTAGGGCTGTCTGTAATACTTAAAAGAGCAAAGTCTTGGTTTCTGTGCCTTCTTAGTAGGACTTGGAAATCAGTACTTCCCGGCCTATGTTATACAGCTCAAGTCAGAATAATGTGCTCTGAGTGCAGGTTTTCTTTCTCTCCTTACCCTCTGAGGGATACTCCACTGGGCGTGTCTCTGTTATATTGGGGTGTGTAAATATGAGACCGAGTCCCCCAAAGAGGGACAAAAGTTAACTTTTGTCACTGTTATAACTGGAATTCCTATAAAAAGTTCATTTAAAAAGTTTGACCACCTCTTGCATACTTACCAGGAACTTTCTGTGCGTGATCCGTGGGGCTCCCCCCACCCCCATGAAGCAGGTACAGTAAGTCCCACTTAACGTCAATCATTCTGCAACTTGAAACGAAATGGCATGCAACGAAACCACTTTTACCGCAGGTTAATTGGTATAAACAAGAGTTAAGTTCCTATGGCATCTCATCAGTGTTAAAACGAACCAGCATTGAACAAAGCAGTGCTATTCAAGGACCCGCTGGACTTTGTCTTCATCCTACAGGTGAGGGCACAACTGCGGCTCAGGCTGCTTCAGTGATTTGTTGGAAGTCAGGTAACTAGCAGAGCGCCGGAGCTTCAGGAAGAAAGAAATCTAGAATTTTGACCAACCAAAGCAGGGTTTTGGAAAAAATGAGTCATTTTTGTGGTACTTTCAGGCTCTTCCCCCATGATTTTATGTAGTACATCTAATATAAATGAAAAAAATGAAGTCAGTTAATCAAATTATGCAGACTCTCAAATAGCAGGTTCTCTCTTCCCCATACATGCATATATATGAATTTATGTGTGTGTATATAAATGTAAAATCTCCAGTAATCTCAGCTATCTAAGTCATAGATGAAAATCTAAAAAATGCACACTACTTAATGAATTCATTTCTCACAGAGTATGAGTTCTTTACTCATAGGGCCTCATTTTCCCAAAACTACTAAATCAGAACATCTAGGAGTGCGACCCAAGTCTCTGCATTTAGACTAGCTCACCGGGTGAGTTACGGGCACAGCTTCGAGAACCACTGCCTTAGATACCATCCCAGTACCTGTGGTTATTTGGTTTACTAGTCCACAGCGCACTACAAGCGCTAGAATGCCAGGCAGGAGTGACAAGTTACAGGAAAAGACCCGAAAACCACATGATCACAAGGCAAAAATCCTATCAGGCGTGAAGTGCAAGAGCAAGCAGCCCTGCCCACTTTAGGGAAAGCACTGACTACTCCTGAATGGTCAAGAAAAAATTGTAATTCTGTTCGGTAGTCTTGAAACGACTTGATGTTTCATAATACAAATGTGGTTAGCTGTGATGTAATTGAAGAGAAGCATCATCTCCATTATAGAATACAATGAGCTCACAGGCTTTGCAGACAAATATTCAAATCCCAGTTCTTCTAATACAACTTTCTAATTATGGGACCTCCATCAGATTTTTCGATCTCACGTCGCTTCATCTAGAATGTAGAGGACCCCGTTCTAAGGTTACATAGGGATGAAATGAAGTGTTACAAAGCATATAGCACACAGATGGTACTTAGAGTTCAAAAAATGGTAACTGCTCTTAGAACTTCAGGGAAATTGACCCAGATAATGGTAACTTCTGTATTCAGGAATGTATTAAAAATAGCTTTTCTATATGTAGCAATTTACATTTTTTTAGAGTGGAGTCACATGTCTCATTTGACTCTTACAGAAACCTTGTGAGATAGACTGGTATGCAGCACCTAACGGCGATTTTGTATATACTGAAGTGTTCATTTTTATTCATAAGTGAGTAGCCTTTATTATTGTTTCCAAAAGGGAAAATGTTAACCTTATTCTAAAGAAATTATTGTCATTATAGTAAGAGAGGTCATTAAGGGAACCCTGCTTTATGGCCTCCTAATGAAGATATTCACCACCTTCTATACCTGAATTTTTAAATCTTCATATTGGAATACAAGCTGTCCCCACATTTAGATGTCACCAGTTCCCAAGATCAGACATTGCCTGAAACTAAAGCTAAAACTGGGTCACAAAGGTAACCCATAAAAGCCCATAGCAAGTGCTTAGTGAATACTTGTTGAATAGAGCAAAGGATGATGTCTCTCTATATCTCTCTGTCTCTCTCATTGGAAGTGTTTATGACACTTTGAAACTCTCTTACCGAGATTCAATAACTGCAGCTATTTCATTAATTTGCAACAGCAACTGCATACCAAATGGTTAATGTTTCAACCTACCTATTGGTTTAATTTCAAAAAGTAATTGACAGTTATTTGTATTAATTGTTTTTAAGCAGTTTTCTTTATGCCTTTTGAGCTAGTCTGTTATAAAGTCGTCTTTCTATTTCTCAGAATTGATAAGAGTCTGCAAACAACAAAAAAAGACCTCTGTGCTTTGCCCTGAGGAGAACCGAGATCAAGGGCAGCCTCCCCGCCACCCAGCGGTGCCTTGCTTTCGCACGCTTCTCCCTGGCGCACTCGCTGCACGTGGTGGAACAAAGGG